CGATGATAATGAAATTGAGTATCATGATGGCGTTGTTGAGTGTGATGTTGATGATAATGGTGATGGTAATGATGATGGTGGTAATAAGGATAGTGACGATGAGGTGGTTATGCTGAGTATGTTGCTGCTGATAACACGACGAGGATGCTGGTTGTGATGATGATGATGATAATGCTGGTGCTGATGCTGGTGCTGGTGGTGATGATGGTGATGATGATGGTGATGATGATGATGATGATGATGATGATGATGACAATGGTGGTGGTGGTGGTGATGATGATGATGATTCCTGGTGAAACGCTGCCCACAGCGGGTATGAGAACCCAAACTGAACACCAAACACCAGACACGGTGAGGCCGGCCGTACACGGCCACCAAATTCCAGGAGAAGCTGACTGGCCAGAGGAGGGGAGGGGGTCGACGAGGATGCGGAGGGGATGATGAGAAATGGAGACGAGCGTGGCGGGGACGGGGATGGGAAACGGGCGGAGAACGCAGCCTGGCTGGAGGCCGCATCCCCGTCACATCCACTTGCCCATTCCACACCGTTCCAATCCCGCCACACCCCATCCCAAATTTTTATCATCGTTGTATCCTCGTATCCATCCCAATCTCGTCCTTCTCGGCAAGGGGCATCCTGTGACGCAGCCAATCTGCATCACTTCGGGCATGCAACCCTTCCTCTGACGAATACAGACACGAGAAATCATGACCTCGCCCGGCTGCGTAGGGTGCTGGGAGAGAAAAATCGCACTCCCATACTACGAGGAGCTTTCGAGTGGCAGGCATGAACAAACGGTTCTGATGCGTTTCCTGCGGAGGCAAGTGCACCTAATCCAGTCGCTGCGTCCGAGACTCGCTGTCGGCATGCAGTGAAACAGATTCCGAATCCTGAATTCTGGCAACTTTCTCCCCTCCACGCTCCATTCCCATAGGCGCCCACGACGACAGCAGCCGAAAACAACTCACAATGGCAACGAAACCGAAACCGACCGAAACCGACAGGCTCATAAAGAACTTCGTAGAAAGGCGTAGCGACGCAACAAAGGTACGACAGCCGATCCGACCGAAACGACTGCGATACACCCGAACCAACCGAACCGAGAACACCCTTGCATCCCGCCCCATCCCATTTCTGGCTACGATCAAACTTCTACCCTCCAACCCAGACCTCCGACGTCGTGATTATTTCACAACGTGAATTCCCTATGGTCTGGGCCCTTCCTGATGAGCGGCTCCTCATCACGAATCATTTTCTCGACGGTCCCCGTGGCCCGGCCAGGGACCCCCCGAGGCCGAGAAGTGCAAGGAAGGCCCCACCCCATTCCACAGCGCGAGGAAGTCGGGGTCCCCCCACCCAAGCTGGAGACCGCCCGGGTCGGCGGGGTCTGTCCCCCCTCCTCCTCCTCCTCCTCCTTCTCCTCCTCCTCCTCCTCCTTCTCCTCCTGCGCCTCCGCCTCCGCCTCCGCCTCCTCCTCCTCTTCCTCCTCCTCCATATTATCATGATTTTCATCACCATCATCATCATCATCATCATCATCATCATCATCATCATCATCATCATCATCATCATCATCATCATCATCATCATCATCAACCTCATCATCAACCTCATCAGCCTCCTTCTCCTCCTCCTGCGCCTCCGCCTCCGCCTCCGCCTCCGCCTCCGCCTCCTCCTCCTCCTCTTTTCTCCTCCTCCTCCTCCTCCTCCTCCTCCTCCTCCTCCTCCTCCGCATCATCATGATTTTCATCACCATCAGCATCAGCATCAGCATCAGCATCATCATCATCATCATCATCATCATCATCATCATCATCAGCCTCATCAGCCTCATCAGCCTCATCAGCAGCAGCACCACCACCACCATCATCATCACCACCATCATCACCACCACCATCACCATCATCACCAGCATCATCATCACCATCATCACCATCATCATCATCGTCATTAACATCATCAGCATCAGCGTATCATCAGCATCATCGTCAGCAGCACCATCATCATCATCAGCAGCAGCATCATCATCATCATCATCACCACCACCACCACCACCATCACCATCATCATCACCATCATTATCATCATCATCATCATCATCATCATCATCATCAGCAGCAGCAGCAGCAGCAGCAGCAGCAGAATCATCAGCATCATCAGCATCAGCATCATCGTCATCATCAGCAGCATCATCATCAGCAGCAGCATCCCCTCCTTGCCCGCCAGAGGGAAGAGGCGCCCTCCCCCCTCTCCAGAGGCGGAGGCGGGGCCAGGATCTGGGGCCAGGGCGTGCTACGCGGCTGCGCTTCGGGGATCTTCTGACCCGGGTCAATCCAGACCCGGGTCAATCAGGCCTGCAAAATCCTGCAAAATCCTGCACCCAAACCCGGGTCAATGCGAAGGATCCTGCAGGATCCTGCAGGATCCTGCACCCAAACCCGGGTCAATGCGACCCTAGCGCTGCAGGATCCTGCAAGATCCAGCGCTCTGGCTGACCCCCGTCTGCACTGACCCCCGTCTCGAGGCTCCCGAGCGCTACGCTGGCGAGCCCGCCCGGGGCGTAGCGTGATGGCCGTGGAGCCTCAGCGAAGCTGTGGCACGAAGTACGGCGCCAGCGCGGGCTGAGGCACGGCGGCTCCCAAGTACGGCGGATCCGAAGTCAGGAAGCGGGGGAGGAGAAGGAGGAGGAAGAAGAGGAAGAGGAGGAACGGGAGGAGGAGGAGAAGGAGCAGGGGCGGAGGCGACGACGTCGACTGCACGACGACGCTCATGACCAGGGGAGGGGGGGGAGGAAGAGGAGGAGAAGCACGACGACCACGACGACGAGGACGCGAAGGACGACGAGGACGAGGGCCGCTGCCGGCCGCCGAAGATCTGACACGGACGCCGGCTGGGGTCGGGCCTCACGACGGGATAGAGAAACAACAAGATGGCATAGTCATTGAGCGTTCATCGGAATCAATCGTTTGCAAAGGTCCACCTCCTCCTCCTCCTCCTGCCCCTCCTCCTGCCCCTCCTCCTCCTCCTCCTCTTCCTCCTCCTCCTTCTGACGTACCTTTCGGCATGGGCCGCACACGGGCCGCGCCGGTTCTCGGGCAAGGCCGCTCGTGTCCCACGTGCAGAGTGGTGCCAAGCCCACTGCACTCCGCAGCCCGAACTGACGTTGGACTCCCAGGAGCGCCTCCGCCGCCTCCTCCTTCTCCTCATGCCCCCGTCCCCTTCTCCTCCTCCTCCGCCTCCTCCTCCTTCTCATCATCCTCCTCCTCATCCTCCTCGTTCTCTGAATAGTGTCCTCCCTCCTGCCAAGGGGGATCTGTAAATGTCCTCCTCCAATCCCACCAGCCCTTTAGGGCGTAGGTGGTCTAGAGCGTTTCCTCTGCCAACCCCCCTTCTTTCCCTTCGGGGAGGGGTTTACCCCTCCCCTTACCCCTCCCCACTGACCTGGACGAGGCGTCTCGCGAGGTGTCAGGGACGCCCAAGATGGCTCAAGACGGCTCCAAGAGCGAAAAAGCGAGAAAGCACAAAACATTGATTCTACCTAGGTTTTGGAAGGATTTTGGCCTCTTGGGGGGGCCCAAGAGGCGCTTCGAGGCACTCTAGAGGGGCAACCCTAATTGGAGCTCCCCCCTTCTTTGATAGATCTCCTCCAAGATGGCCCCAAGAGCGCCCCGAAGGCTCCCAAGAGCGCCCCAAGAGCGCCCCAAGAGGGCCCCAAGAGACCCCAAGAGGCCCCCAAGAAGCCTCTAAGAGGCTGCCAAGAGACCCCCAAGAGGCCCCAAGAGAGTTCAAGATGGCCCAAGACGGCTCCAAGAGCGAAAAGGCGAGAAAACAAAAAACATTGATTTTCCTTAGGTTTTGGAAGGATTTTGGCCTCTTGGGGGGCCCAAGAGGCGACTCGAGGCACTCTAGAGGGGCAACGCTAATTGGGGACCCCCTCTTCTTTGATCGATCTCCTCCAAGATGGCCCCAAGAGCGCCCCGAAGGCTCCCAAGAGCGCCCCAAGAGCGCCCCAAGAGCGCCCCAAGAGGCCCCAAGAGGCGCCCAAGAGGCCTCCAAAAGGCTCCCAAGAGACCTCCAAGAGGCCCAAGAGGCTCCCAAGACGGCCCAAGACGGCTCCAAGAGCGAAAAGGCGAGAAAACACAAAACATTGATTTTACCTAGGTTTTGGAAAGATTTTGGCCTCAAGAAGGGCCCAAGAAGCGATTCGAGGCACTCTAGAGGGGCAGCGCTAATTGAGGACCCCCCCTTCTTTGATAGATCTCCTCCAAGATGGCCCCAAGAGCGCCTCGAAAGCTCCCAAGAGCGCCCCAAGAGCGCCCCAAGAGAGCCCCAAGAGGCCCCAAGAGGCCCCCAAGAGGCCTCCAAGAGGCCCCCAAGAGACCCCCAAGAGGCCACAAGAGGCTCCCCGAGATACGCAAGAGGCCCCCGGGACCGCCAAGAGGCCCAAAGACGGCCCAAGAGGCCCCCAAGCTCGCCATTGTCCTCCTCCTCCTCCTCTTTTTCTTCCTCCTCCCTCCTCCCCCTCCCCCTCCTCCTCCTCCTCCTCCTCCTCCTTTTCCTTTTCCTCCTTCTCGTCCTCCTCGTCCTCGCAGTCCTCCATCTCCTCCTCCTTATCTTCCTCCTCCTCCTCCTCCTCCTGCTCCTCCTCCTGCTCCTCCTCTTCCTCCTCCTACTCCGACGACGACGGCTCCTCCTACATCCTCCCCCTCTTGGGGTATATGGCGGCTCACCCCGCCCTCTGTTCTTCTGCATGCTCCCCCGCTTCCCTCATAACCTCCACTCCCCTGGGACTCATTTCTGGACGGGCTGGTGGGGATACGCGAAGCGTCTAGAATTTCGGAGGTCCACGCGTGTCTCTTGGATCGCCACTGGAACCCTGCCGCCTTCCGCGCGCAAGGGAGATGGGCCTGGGCGCGGACCTCCGAAAATCTATGCTCACGCCGTTGCTTCCCGTTCCTTCCGAAGACGGGAGGCGCCCCCGACGAGAGCCGCCGCGGTCCTTGTGGAGGTAGACGCCGGGCGCCTCGCGCGCACCCGCGGCGGCGACAGCCGTCTTTCTCTCTCCGCCCCGTCCGCCTTCCTTGGCGGCCCTCGCGCGGAAGAAACAAGAAAGGCCAGCCTACGCCACACTCTTCCTCGTCCTCCTCCTCCCCCTCCTCCTCCTCCTCCTCCTCCTCCGCCTCCGCCTCCTCCTCCTGTGCCTCCGCCTCCGCCTCCGCCTCCTCCTTCTTTCCCTTTCCTTATGGAAAACTCGTCCTCAGCTGGCCGCCAGACACGTCGGCGGGGCGGGCTGGGCATTTCGGCTGAGACTTCGCCTGATCCTGAAGTTCGAAATTTCCGCCTGCTACCAGGACGCACATTCGTCTTCAAAGTCCCACCAGCCCTTTGGGCGTGGGTGATTCAACGAGTTTTGCCTTCCCTCTACCCAGAACTATCCTTTCCCTGCTCGAGGGGTAGGTTTACCCCTCCCCCTACCCCTCCCCTGGGCCTGGGAGGGAGGGGGCGCGAGGCGTTAGAGCCCCCAAGATCGCCCAAGATGGTTCCAGGAGGGCCTGAGAGACCCCAAGATGGCCTCCAAGATGGCTCCAGCTAACTCAAGATGGCTCAAATAGCCTCCGACGCACATCCAAGAGGCCTCAAGACGGCCCCAAGACAGTTTCGAGTGCCCTCCGAGCCCTCCAAGGACCCCCCCAAGAAACAGGAAGAGCTCCAAAACCTGGGGAAAATTGATGATGATTGCCTTCTCGCCTTTTCGCTTCCGATGGGCCTCGGCCTCAAGATGGCCCCAACATTGCCCAAGAGGGCCCCAAGAGGAACCCAAGAGGGCTCCAAGACGGACCCAAGAGCGCCCAAGCGCGCCCAAGAGCGCCCCAAGACGTCATGGTCATGTTTGAGCCTGCGAGGGGTCGACCCCCCCTCTCTTTGAGCAGTGAGCCAAAAATTGCGCCCAGAGGCCTCCCAGACCCCCAGAGAGCCCCAACAGGCCCCTGGACCCCATCAAAAAGGCCCCAAGAGGGGCCCAAGAGTGCCCCAAGTCGCTCCGCGAGGACCCCAAGAGAGACCCAAGATGGCTCCAATAGACCTCCGAGAAAAAATGTCCAAGGCGGTGTTCAAACTGCATGCTCCTATACTTCCCTCATGTAACTCGCCTGGCGATCTGCTTCTGGATGGGTTGGTGGGGATGCGCGAGGCGCCAACAGTTTGCCACAGCTACGAGGATGCCGAGCCTTAATTCCGTACAAGAAAAATGCCGTGCCGTGCCACGCTTAAACTCTGCAGTGCGAAAGACTATGCCGCGCCGTAGAGTGCGACAAGCGCGCCGCGCCGCGCCATGCCGCGCCATGCCCGCGTCCCGTGCCGCACCGCCCCGTGCTCGAATCCTGGAATTCCACGGGGCAAGGGCTCCCAACTCCGCGCTCCGCGCTGCGCGAAGCGCGAAGAACTTCGCGTTCCCGCGCCGCCTCCCGGGGGAGAGGAGGAGGAGGAGGGGGAATCGGAGCCGACCCGCGGAGCGCGAGGCGCGAAGAACTTCGCGCCCTCGAGGGCGCCATCCGTGCCGCGCCCGGGCTGCAGAGGGCGGTGCCGCGCCGCGCCGCGCCGTGCCGTGCCCGCGCGCCGCGTCGCGCACGGGTCCTGGAGCGCACAGGAGCGTGCCTGCCCGCGTGCCGTGCCGCGCCGTGCGGCCAGGATGCCGGAGGGGTGACGTGCCGGGCCGTGCCGGGCCGTGCCCGCATGGCCGTGCCGTGCCGTGCCGTGGTCGGTCCTCTGCGGCAGTGGCCATCCACTCCCAGCACGCCCCCTGTGATGTCGGCTCGCCACGCGTGTCTTCGTTCAGCGTCGCCGCTCAGGGGTGAGGGCGTTTCTTGTTTTCAAAATGCTGCTCTCGCCTTAGCACAACGCACATTCGTTTTTTACAATTGCATCCGTTACGAAAGTGGAACCCAGCTCTTCTCGAAAGCGAATGTTCGCCCGCAACATCCTGCGACAATACGAAAATTCTGGAATGGCATGGAGCTCGGCTCGTTCTCAAAATGGGTTTCTCGCCTGTAAGTTCGCAAAGGAAAACGCAACCGCGACAAAGCAACAAACAACTATTGTATGTTAGCCAGCGTGGACTCAAAACAATATATTTCTAGCCATCAATGTTGCGCAATATAGATTGAGCAACCTGCGTACTGCAATAGACGTGGTGTCAGTCTGTGTTGCGCAACCTATGTGATGCAATATCCGTGGTGCGATCTACGTTGCGCAATTAATGTGGAGCTTTCTACGTAGTGCGATCTAGGCGGTGCAATGTATATTGTGCAATCAATGTGGTGCACGCTACGCGTGGTGTGATATATGTGGTGCAACATTTGCGGTGCAATATCCGCCGGCCCCCTAGCAGGCCCACCAGGCTGTAGGACTAGGTCACTGAACCCTGCGCCAACTGCAGTTCCAAGTCTTCAATTTAGCAGTCCTGCTTTCTGCTTCCTACTGTAAATTGTTGAAGTCCGCGCGAGGGGGGGGAGCCCCAAATCAGCAATTCACCACCCTCGGATCGCGTGCTCTGAATTCCCGCGGGGGCGTGGGACACGTAAAAAGACATTATATTCGTGCCCACGAAACCAGAATCTTCTGCAAGTTACGCAAAGTTCGCGTTTCCGGGAAACCCTAGAATATTAGACAATCTGTGCATCCCCGAAGCAACAAGCCCCTGCACATTACGCTATATTCGCGTCCCCGAAGCCATAAACCTTTGCATTGTACGCCGTATTTGCGTTGCCGAAGCCAAGAGTGCTCCAAGGCGCCCGAAGGTGGTTCCAAGACGGCCCAAGAGGGCCTCAAGAGGCCCCAAGAGCGCTCCAAGAGGCCTCCCGGGAGAGCCCCAAGAGGCCAAAATAGTAGATTTGACCATAAGGTTTTTGAAGGATCTTGGCCTTCTCGCATTTTCGGCTTCCCGTCGCTCCAGGACGGCTCAAGAAGCTCCCAAGACCAAGGCAGCCCAAGAGGCCTCCAAGAGGGCCCAAAGACGGTCCAGGAGGGCTCCAAGATGGACCAAGAAGCGCTGAAGACGGCCCAAGAGGGCCCAAAGACAACCCCAAGAGGGGCCCAAGCAGGGGACCACGAAACTGGAAATTATATATTTCTGCCCCGGGAAGCCCCTGGAGGCCCCTTAGAGGCCACCCAAAGGCCCCAAGAGGCCCCAAGAGGCGCCCAAGACGCGCCTAAGAGGCCTCCAAGAGGCCCAGAAGATACCCCACGAGGCCCCAAGAGGCCCCCAGGAAGCGCCCAAACCGCCTCCAAGAAGCCCCCGAGAGGCTCCCCATGACACCCCAACACGTATACAAGAGGCCTCAGACCCACAACCCACGAACGGTGGTGGGATGGGCCGAAAGCCACTAGCAGAACGCCAACGTCCCAGTGTACGCTGATGATCCCTTTCCGCCCCCGCATGATGTTCCCAGATGCGCCAAGGCAGCGCCGAGACGCACCGACGCGATTCTGATATATCCCATTATGATAGAGAGGGGGCTGGCGGCAGGGGGCGAATCCTCTACGGATATGTTGCGCAATCGACTAGAGTGCGATCGATTGGATTGCAACCGATTGGATTGCAACCGGAGTGTGCAACGAGGCGGCGGCCAAGGGCGGCGACGAGGCGACGACGGCGGGAACAAGGCGTCGGACCCGACAAACGAGCCCAGACGACGGGCGGCGACGACGCGGCGACGGGGCGGAGACGGCGGCAACAAGACAGCAGACCCGACGAACGAGCCTAGACGACGGGCGGCGACGACGCGGCGACAGGGCGGCGACGGCAGCAATAAGCGGCGGACCCGACAAAAGAGCACAGTTCCTGAAAAGACAAGTAAACAACCCGAAATGCTAACACAGCTTTGGGAATACATATCTATATATATAATGTATCTGTATATATGTATATATGTGTGTATGTATACGACTCGAAATCTAGTACACACACTATAAATATATACATACATACATACATACATACATACATACATACATACATGCATGCATACATACATACATACATACATACATACACACATACATACATACATACATGACAGACATACATACATACATACATACATACATACATACATACACTACAAACACTACACACACTAAATACATACATACATACAAACATACATGCATACACACATACATACATGCATACATGCATGCATATATGCATACATACATGTAGACATACATACACAACTATACATGTATCTATGTATAGGCGTCTAACCGCCACCATGCCTCTTGGCACGGAGTGGGCGTGTCCTCAGGTCCTTTGCCCATTCCCTGGAGCCTCAATGCTCAGTCCTGAGGAGTCTTCAGAGAGCCCGGACACCAAATTCCGAAATCTCTTGGCGCTTCCCGCGTGCCCCTTGGGATTCCCGGCATCTTGTCGCATGATTCCCAGGCCCAAGAGGGCCTCCGACGGGCCAAGGGGACCCCACGAAGCCCCCCAGACGGTCCAAGATGGCCCCGAGACGCCCAATGATCGTTCCAAAACGTCCAAAAAGGCCCCAAGATGGCCCAAGCGGCCGCCAAGACGCACCAAGAAGCGTCCAACAAGCCGCCCAAGAGTGCTCCGAGAAGCCAAAATCTGTCATATTGCATTGATGTTTGAAGGATGTTGCCTTTTCTTCTCGGCGCTCCAAGACGGCCCGCCCAAAAGGCCCCAAAGACCGCCCCAAAACGGCCCAAAAGGCCCCCAAGAGGGCCCCAAAACAGACCAAGAGGGCCCCAAGACGGCCCAAGAGACGCCCAAGACGGCCCAAGAGGGCCCCAAAACGGCCCTAAAGGGCCCAGGAGAGGGAACACGAACCGAAACTCCAAGCCTTCCGCCCCAAAGACCCCCAGAAAGCCCCAAGAGGCCACCAGGAGGCCCCAAGAAGCCCCCAAGAGGCCCCGGCGCCCACGAGGCCCAAAAGAGGCCCCAAGAGGCCCAAAAGAGGCCCCCAAGAGGCGTCCAAACTGCCTCCCAGAGGCCACCGAGAG